CAGGAATGTTCTCAAAATCTCTGCACGGTTGTTTATTTTGGTTGGGTCCTGTGTTGTACAAACAACCAAGTCATCAGCAAATTGCCCTGCTAGCCAACCTTTAGGTGGGACTTATTTTTAAGCAGTAAAGTAGACCTCCTTGACTTTAAACTTTTATGTTTCAACTTTCATTTGCTTAATTGATTGTAGGGTACCAGTATACTTAGTAGTTTTCATTTCTATAAGAATTTTTAAATTTTAAAAACTCCATATTTCTCCTCTACATTAGCTTCCTAGGGCTACTAAAACAAAGGACTACAGATTGGGTAGCTTAAAACAACAGGAAATTATTGTCACACAGTTCTCAAGGCCAGAAGTCCAAAATTAAGATGTCGCCAGGGCAGACTTCCTCTGAAGGCTCTACAGAAGGAACTGTTTCTGTGCCTTTCTCGTAGCTTCTGGTAGTCTCCGGCGTTCCTTAGCTCATAAACGAACGGCTCCAATTCTCGCTTCACCCTGCGTGTCTCACATTGTCTAACCTGTGTGTGTGTCTATACCCACGTTTCTCCTTTCTAAAAAGACACCAAGCATACTGGATTAGAGTTCATCCTCGGGATCTTGTTTTAACTTGATTTCAAGAATCTATCTCAAATACAGCCACATTCTGAGATACTGGAGGTTAGGACTTCAATGTATCTTTTGGGGAGGATACAATTCAACTCATAACATCCTCCTTCAAAGGTGTCTGTCGTATAGAACAATATGACAAGTGAATCAAAGATGGCAAAGCACATATGAATTAAGGATAGGCTTAAGGGTTTAAAGAATGTGTCTTTATATCCATCTTTTGATTTCTACTCACTCAGGTAATATACCACTGTTGCCTATTACGTGATAGATTTATAAATATTTATATGTTTTCCCTCACTTACTTCCTTCATGCACATATTAGAAGAGGGAGACAATTGCATTCTTCCTATAATCTGCTCATCTTCTCTGCTCTGGAATTTCCTACCACCGCCATCCATGTCCTCATTCTCTACTTCTTTGTCCCTTGCAATAATCATCCTATTCTCAGGGATAATATGAATAAAAGCGATAGAATAGATTCCTCACTGGTTGGAAACTGAAGCGTGCTGGTCACCGAGTGAGTGGGAAGCTGAAGGGAAGTCTCGTTCTTGGGGCCGTAGGGCTCGAACCCCAGCCCCACTCTTCGACACAGGGAAGGCGTTGCTAAACTCTGCAATGCCCCAGAGCTTGCAAAAACAGTTACCATAATGGACAACAAAAGTAGAAAAACAGTAATTAGCATTCACTGGGCACATGTTGCATGTGGCACTGAGCCACATACTAGGTGGTGGGAGGGAGTTTATACAGACAGACGGCAGGTCCCTCAGTGCCACCAATGGGAGACGTGCCTGAGCGTGGACATCTCTGGTTTCACAGGTCGGCCAAGAAGCCAGAGTCACAGCCCACCAAGCAAACCATCTGCTCCTCCCACCACCATCTTTCCCAGTCCTAATCAGGAAGTTTGCCTCCTTTTACAGGTAGGGGTGCTTCCTGCTCCAAATGAAGGGCAACGAGAGCCTTTCACCCCACATTCAGCTTCAGGAGTTTGTCCAAGCCAACAAGTTCCTGGCATCAGCTGCAGAGAAAAGCAACAATAGGAAAAGCCTCAAGCATGTCAGGAATGCTTGAGAGACCTGAGGTTGTTTAACCTGGAGAAGAGAATGTCCTGGGGGGAAATATTAGTTGACCATAGTATCTGAAGGAACATTATGAGGAGGAGGAAGCAGAGTAGGAAGGAGCTGAGGATGGAATAGTAAAAGCCATAACAGCAATAATAGAAACTGAAATGCATTAAGCATTCGCTCCCTGTCAAGCCCTCTGCTAAGTGCCTTACATGCATTTTTCATTTAATCCTCACACCGTATGAGGCAGATTCTATGACTATCCCTATTTTACACAGATGAACTGAGGTCTAGAGAAAGAAAGCAGCTTGACATTTGCACCATAGTTGGTGGCAGAACTGAGACTCCAACTCACGTCTGCCTGACTCCGGAGGCCAGGACCCTACAACCTGCCATATTCAACAGGCTGAAAGTATCTACTCTATTCCATGCTGAAAGCAGAGAAGCCCCCTTTTAAGAAAAGGGGGTCAGAGTGGTTTTTCACGACTTTGATGACTGATCTCTTTTAAATTCTCCCAGAACTAGAGAATAAAAATAACAGGGGCTGTAGGTACAGAAATGCAAAGCCGAATCTTTCCCATCGTTTACAAAGTCGGGAATTAGAACTTATGTCCTCTTCTACTTTCCAAACTCTATTTAGATTCCCACATGATGAAACATTCTCAGTATCCTGCAACACCTAAAGAGTTAGATATGTGCTATTTTAATTTTAGGAATATGTGGATAGAGAAACTCATTCCTTGGGTCATTTGCCAAGGTCGAAGCTGACTCCCAAAGCTACGGGGATTTCAGATTTTGAGAAGCGTAGTTTAAATAGCTTTCCTCACAACAAAAAGTTGGCTAGAAGCCTAAGTGGCAAAATAAACAATTTTTCAAATCAATAAATCTAGACATTTTTAGTTTCATATTAGGAAACTGCAACCTCATGTGATGTCCTGCCAGGGCCTCAAAAAATTGCTGTCTACGGCTCTCATTGCTTAGGAGACTAATCTGATATTTTGTTTTCGTCTTTTGGAAACCAGAAGTAGTGA